GCTTGTCTTCTGATTCCATGTAGTAGTCAGACATTCCATGAGGTATTGCCCTGTTCTTTGGCCCTGATTCCCAATATGATAGCCTTCAGTGTCACAATTATTTCTTTAGAAGTCTTCATCCTGGAGCAAACATCATTGATAGAGGAAGAATTCATGTAACTATTCCTCATTTCTTTAATGAAATATACCACGTATCATCCTATTGTCAACTCCCTTTCTCTCCTTACTACCTCTGACCTTGGGGTTATTCCAGGTTTCTACTGGCAAAATTTCTCTTTTGGAAGTCTTCTCTTTTGCCTGCTTGGCAGTGTCACTCCCTAAACTCTATTCTTGGTAATTACGTAACTGTGAGAAAATGCTTTTTGATACAACCTACTTCTGGGCAAATATACTTTTCCCCATATTCATATGATTAACCAAGATTTCATCATTAAACTACTTTAAACATGGTTAATAAATGGCAATTGTTTTCATTGATACTATCTTTATAGCCAAGTGTTTACTATCTTGTTAAGCATGGCCACCAATCTTATATTTAACATACACACATCTCTGGTACTTACCAGCAGCAGGAATAGTTCCTTTCTAGCATGTCACTTGAACCATACTAAAAGAATAGGATGGCAAATGTAATTCTCATCCTTTCTCCAAAACTGTTACCAGTCCCTTATGAGATAAGTATAATAAGTATATAAATCATGAAAGTATATAGTTATACTGATCAAGTATACAAATGGTAAGTATTTAGAAATTTTTAGAACATTTCACATTGCTGGTTTATTCAAGTGCATAATTTTCTATTTTACAAAAGTCCATGGCCGATTGGAAATTAAAAAAAAAAAGTTCCTTCACCACAAAGAGCTGAGAAGCACTGCTTTAGAGTGTCTCAATAATGCTTTTGGTCAGGTGGCATAGTTTCCCTTCTTGTATTACCTTTGTCTTCCTCAGAGCTGGCCTTAAAGCCAAGGGACCTGGCTGCCTTCCAGGCAGTCATTTCCGCATAGTTTAATAGCTATAGCCAGTGAACTGAAAGTGCATTTCCTGCCACCATACTGTACAATTATTACTAATGTAATAGGAGAATGCACTTCTGGTTTTGGCACTGATATTTGGGATACTGCATCAGGGCTGGTAGCTTAAAAGAGTGGGCAATATTTTGGAGTATGTATTAATGGAGATAGAACCACTAGGAATACTTCCTGTTAAAATATGCTATATTTGATCCATTTAGAGATAATTTAATAAGATGATACTTTAAATGAAAATAGGAAAATCTCTTCTTATGTGGGGCCATGAACCTTTGCTCAAAGGAAGTTTTAAGGAGGTGGGTCTTAGCTCATTTTAAGAAATATGTTTCTAACTACTGATGGAATAGTTTTATTAGGTAAATGCTCAAAGACTGATTTACAAACTATCATTGGTTCTCTAATAATGAATCCTGCAGTTAGTTGAAAATTAGATTAAGCTCTAGGGTCCCTTCCAAAGCAGAATTATATAATTAGGTGCTGAAGTAGATTTAGGCATCAAAGGAAGGAAAATTAACTTTGAATCAGGAGTCATTAAGTGTGACGTCCTGTGATTCTCCTTTAATTTAGAGAAAAATTCTGCAATACTTCAGGAAGGATGTAATACTGAGGTCATTTGAAGGCTGAAAGTTTACTTGGAGTTGTACGTGGTCCCAGATCCACAGTTTGGAGCCAAGAGGAGACAATAAAAGATTTAAAGAAAGTCCTTCCAGAATGTGCAGTTATTAATGTCCGAGAACTTACGACTTAACGACTCAAACACAACCAAGATAAAGTAAAGAGTGAAAAGGAACTGGTCACTATTGAAACAATCTTAAGACTTGACATAAACAAAATGTTTTCTCCCCTTTACGTTCATAAATAGAGGGTTAACAGCTATTTAGGTTACTGTTGAAGATTTAAATCTTGGAGAATAGAAAATTTAATTGAGGGCAAGATGATTTTCTAATTGTTTACAAGGTCTTTTTATTGCCTTTTGTTCATTAAAATGAAAAAATTGTATTAACAATATTAGAAAGCTAATATGTTGCTAATGAGGTTCTCCTCTACTGGAATAATTTCTAAAAATCAGATAAATAGGAAAAAATTAATGTTAAATTAGCTACAGTGTCTGAATCAATTTATTTCTGCAAATTATTTCTGACCAAATGTCTCAGAAACAAATCAATGTAAAAGATTATTAATAATTACTTGCTTACAGGTATAAAAGAAAGTAACATGAAACTTTTTTGAAGAAAAGAGAAGAATTTTCTTATGAGCCAATTCATACTGCTGCAAATATCTTGGATCCAAGACCAAAAGGTAGAAATGTAAATAATGATAGCACTGCTGCTGCTGCCCTAGATTGAATTACAAAACAAGCAGCACATTTAGAAATTTATGCTGGAAAAATCCTTTCAAATGTGTCTGAATACAGAGCAGTTACAGTGTTTGTGCAGTCATGCAGTTTGGACTTGTGCCAAGTGTAACGCTCTTATTCCTGGTCCCACCCTTCTGATGAGGAATCTGAAGGCCAGGTTACAATTCAAGGTCTCTATGGCTAGCTCAAGCTCCTACCCAGTGTTTCTGAGCTTTTATCCCTACTAAGTTTGCTCATGAAAATAACAATATTAATAACTAATGTATATTTGGTGCTTACTATATGCTAAGCATTATGCAAGGTAAATTATATATTTTATTTTAAGTTTCACAATAAACCTATGAGGTAAATACGTTTATGTTCAGATGGGGAATTTGATTCTGTATGAGGTTAAAGAAATTGCTCTAGGTCACATCATTATATCTGTTCCATTATAAATCTGTTGAGAAATCAGTAGTTTTTCTGCATGTCAAGGATGATTTTTGTTTGGAAGACAAGGTATCTTAGAACAATACAATTTGAATCAGACACACACCAGAAAGAGCCTCTGAAGCCCAATCCAATGAACTGGGGGAGCATGAAAAATCTAAGCATTACCTGGAAAATCTGCTACAAAACAATACACAGGTAAAGTGGCCCCAGGCCAAACAAAGGAGTTTGCTAAGAGTGGTGCAGCAGGTTTCTGTTGAAGACTTTGTTTCCTTCCAGTAATGCTCTACACAATGTAAGCAATGGTTGTGTGAGGCTGTGGTTCTGTCTCTCTGACTTTAGTGTCCTGGGTCTGCATTCATGTTGTATTTTTTTCCTTCTGTTTTTGTGACTAATTTTCTCTGTGGGACTAGTATTTTTCTGTACAGCATGACACTGAAAGAAACACTTTAAACTGCGTTTGCCAGGAAAAGTCACTTCCAATTTGGAATCCTAAGTGAAACCGACACCACACTTTAAGATTCTAGGATTGTTGCAGGGAAATGTCACCCAATACCTCTAGGAAGCAGGAGCCCTATTGTTGCTGTTTAACCACTTCTTTCCCATTTTGGTGGCAAGTTGCCTCCTTTCACACTAACTGCCTCAGAAGATCCTGAGGAGATCATGGTGTCTGTCTGTCCTTGCAAGAGCATGCATTATGGTCGGACATTGCCTTCATTCTGTTCCTTTTTCTCCAAGACTCTTGCTTATTCTCACCATTTGGCTGGACTTCCTACTGTAGGATTACCTCAGAATCCACACAAAACCCACAGGGTTTTAGAACTGCCTTGAATTACATGTTTTCCCAGACATCTACTCAGTTCATAGGTGGCCTCACCTCTGAAGTCTCAGAGTTGCAAGATGCCTTGAGTCTTAGACTGTCTTCCGTCTTCTTTCTCCCTTCTGCACCCCCTCTGGCCAAAGTTGCCCAGCCACACTAAATTGCATTCCTTGCAGTGTTGCATGCTTCCTTTGGGCAGCCTGACTTTTATGAATAGACGAGGATAAAACTGGGATATGAAAATACATTTATCTCTTTTTTTTATATAAAAGCAGGAGTTGGTAATGTTTTATTCTTAAAGACTTCACTTTTGGAACTTAAAATAAGCCGTATATTCATTAAATATATTAAATTCATTAAATATACAGGTAGTCTTTAAATTTTTTGTCTACAAAATGTTATTAAAGAAATATTCTAACAATCTTAAAATAACTTTGGGAGGCACGGGGAAGGACAAAGGGCCTGAATTTTTATGTCACAGTCTCTGATCAGTGCTTTTAGTCCAATCCAGTCAAGTAAGTAAAGGTTCATAGAAAAAATTATGTTTTATAAAATCATAGTGATGAAAAAAACATTCTAGCCTAGGATCATCTCATCCAAGAAAAATACTAAGAAAACAGCTTGTAAAAAAGAAGGTAATATAATCAAATTATACTCCTCATAAAACTCTACACTTAATAACAGGAATACATAATATACATAATATAAAAATAATTCTTACCATTTATTCCACACCTATCATTCCCCAGGCACTGTACACTGTACAATCAGCCTAGGATCATCTCATCCAAGAAAAATACTGAGAAAACAGCTTGTAAAAATTTATTTATTTATTTTTGAGATGGAGTCTCATTTTTTTGCCCAGGCTAGATTGCAATGGCACGATCTCGGCTCACTGCAACCTCTGCTTCCCTGGTTCAAGCCATTCTCCTGCCTCAGCCTCCGAAGTAACTAGGACCACAGCCATGTGCCACCACACCTGGCTAATTTTTTTATTTTTAGTAGAGATGGGGTTTCACCATGTTGGCCAGGCTGGTCTCAAACTCCTGACCTCAAGTGATCTACCTGCCTTGGCCACCCAAAGTGCTGGGATTACAGGCGTGAGCCACTGTGCCCAGCCTACAATCATGATTTCTAATTCCAAAAATCAGAATTTCTAATTCTCAGGTAGATGGCCAAAGCTACTTTTTAAAGTTTCGTGTCTTTTTAAAGAGAAGAAAGTGAACTGTATTAAAGCTGAATGACTCACTCAAGGCTATATAGCTGGTAGATGGCAGAAGTGGGGTTTGAATCCGTTTTTCTTCCATACCACACACCAATTACTGTATAGAAAAATAGCTGAATTGCTCTTATTATTTTAGACAAATTTCATTTTTAAAACCCCACATGTGGTTTATTATTCTGTTATGGAAATGACTAACTTGCATATTAATAAAAAAGACAATCCCTGTGTTATCATGAGTTTAGAAAAAAAAGTGTTATCACAGATAACAATAAGCTATTCTTGTTCCTAGTTCCAATGATTTTGAACCTATTTCTCAGAACAAGAAGCCCTCTGATTCAAATATGAAACAGAGTATTCTATTTCATCACAAACACAAAGATCTGAAACCCCATTTTTGAGCCATCTCTGTATACAATAAGAATCCAGCCTGCATTTGTCAATGATAGAGAGTACAGTAAATAAGAAGTCCCTGAAGAGGTCAGAGTGTTGACAAAATTCAACATGATGGTGGAGTCCACACAAACACAGGAAACAAAGCTGGCCCTTCCATACAGCCGCCTGTCCTTGCAATGACTTCGTTTTAAGTCAACATCTCTTCATGCCGCACATATTCCCCAATGTCTGCCTGATGAAATACCACAATCGCCATGGGGTCTACTTTTCTGCAGTCTTGTGTAGATTTTGCTGCCACCCCAAAAGGCAAAGGGATGTCTGCCATGGAGTACACCACCACGCCCTGGTACTGAGAAGTATTTTCAGTGGTTCGACCCAGACCACATTTCAACACATGCTTCCCACACAGGAACGACTGCTCTGCACCAGGCTTTATCCACACTTTATACTTGGCATAAGGTGCAAGGTAATCCAGGGCTGTGACGTGCAACCAAAACTTGTGGGTTTTAGTGACTTTAACAAAGCAGGACCCCAGCGACACCAGCTTGTCCCCAGAGATATTAGCGGCCAACTTCATAATATTTTCACTCACATAGTACACCCGGTCGTTGTGCAGATGGAAACAGTAGGTGCCATTGGGCTGGTCCACCAGCAGCTGAAGATTCTCCCCGATGTATTTTGCGATCTTCTCAAACATGACACGGGTCTCTTCTTCAGTCAAAGGCCACATTTTCTCCCTGGGTTGAAACAACGGATCCTCCTATCTCTTAATATAATATAAATATATAAATGGAATTATTTAAAATTGTCCATTTATGTCTAGCTTCTTAGCATAATGTTTTCAAGGTTCATTCATGTTGATGTATCATGATTTTATTCCTTTTTTATTTTTCAAGTTATCAACACTTATTTACATACTTGATAAATTTGTTGGAATTTTTAATTGTTTTATGTTCCAGGAGGAGTATATTTGCCTCATTCCAGGAACTATGTGTACATTCGTTTGTTGAGGATTATTTGGTGTTTAAAATTTACCCCCCAAAATATACTGAATTGCACAAAAAGAAAAGTTCTTGATAACTTTCTGGTTTGCTCAAAGACTCTCAGGTCTTTACATTTCTAAGGCATTTTTATACGTAGATTTTACCCTCACAGTGTTACTAAGAAAGCAGGTGCTGCCATCCCTATTTCAAACATAAAGAAACTGTGACCCAGGAAGAACAAGTAACATGCCCAGGTTGTCCACGTATCTCCATGCTTTATCTGGTATTAAGTCCAGGGGCCCTTATTCAGCATCATTTATACCTCTAGTCTAACAGAAGCTCTTGGAGGAGGGACACTTGGCATGACCATGTGCACATCCCCAGAACTAATTCAGAGTACTGCCATGGGGAGCCAGTTCCCCTAGATCTCTGACACACTGGTTAGGCTTGCTGTGCCAGGCCATGTCTGTGATTTTATTAAGGATTTTTGCATCGAGGTTCATCAGGGATATTGGCCTGAAGTTTTCTTTTTTTGTTGTATCTCTGCCAGGTTTTGGTTATCAGCATGATACTGGCCTCATAAAATGAGTTGAGGAGGAGTCCCTCCTTTTCAATTGTTTGGAATAGTTTCAGAAGAAATGGTACCAGCTCCTCTTTGTACCTCTGGTAGAATTCAGCTGTAAATCCATCTGGTCCAGGGCTTTTTTTCATTGGCAGGCTATTTAATGCTGCCTCAATTTCAGAACTTGTTATTGGTCTAATCAGGGATTCAGCTTCTTCCTGGTTTAGACTTGGGAGGGTGTATGTGTCCAGGGATTTATCCATTTCTTCTAGGTTTTCTAGTTTATTTGCACAGAGGTGTTCATAACATTCTCCAATGGTCGTTTGTATTTCTGTGGGGTCAGCGGTGATATCCCCCTTACCATTTCTAATTGTGTCTATTTGATTCTTCTCTCTTTTCTTCTTTATTCGTCTAGCTAGCAGTCTATTTTATTAATTTTTTCAAAAAAACAGCTCCTGGTTTTGTTGATTTTTGGAGGGTTTTTGTGTCTCTATCTCCTTCAATTCTGCTCTGATGTTGGTTATTTCTTGTCTTCTGCTAGCTTTGGGGTTCTTTTAATTCTTTTAGTTGTGATGTTAGCTTGCTGATTTGAGATCTTTCTAGCTTTTTGATGTGGGCATTTAATGCTATGAATATCCCTCTTAACACTGCTTCAGCTGTGTCCCAGGGATTCTGGCACATTGCGTCTTTGTTCTCATTAGTTTCGAAGAACATCTTGATTTCCACCTTAATTTCATTATTTACTCAGGAGTCATTCAGGAGCAGGTTGTTCAATTTCCATGTGGATGTGTGATTTTGAGTGAGTTTCTTAATCTTGAGGTCCAATTTGATTGTGCTGTGGTCTGAGAGACTGTTATGATTTCAGCTCTTGTGCATTTGCTGAGGAGTGTTTTACTTACAATTATGTGATCAATTTAGAGTAAGTGCCACGTGGCATTGAAAGGAATGCATATTCTATTGTTTTTGGGTGGAGAGTTCAGTAGATATCTATCAGGTCTGCTTGATCCAGAGCAGGGTTCAGGTCCTGTATATCTTTCTTAATTTTCCATTTTAATGATCTGTCTAATATTGACAGTGGAGTGATAAAGTCTCCTAGTATTATTGTGTGGGAGTCTTAGTCTCTTTATAGGTCTCTAAGAACTTGCTTTATGAATCTGGGTGCTTCTGTATTGGGTGCATATATATTTAGGATAGTTAGCTCTTCTTGTTGAATTGAACTCTACCATTATGTAATGCCCTTTTTTGTCTTTTTTGATCTTTGTTGATCTAAAATCTGTTTTGTCAGACGCCATAATTGTGACCCCTGATTTTTTCTGCTTTCCATTTGCTTGGTAAATTTTCCTCCATCCCTTTATTTTGTGCCTACGTATGTCTTTGCACATGAGATGGGTCTCTTGAAGATAGCATACTGATGGGTCTTCACTCTTTATCCAGCTTGCCATTTGATGTCTTTTAATTGGGGCATTTAGCTAATTTACATTTAAGGTTAATATTGTTATGTGTAAATTTGATCCTGTCATCATGATGCTAGCTGGTTATTTTGCAGACTTGTTGATGTGGTTGCTTCATAGTGTCACTAGTCTCTGTACTTCAGTGTGTCTTAGTAGTGGCTGGCAAAGATTTTTCCTTTCAATATTTAGTGCTTCCTTCAGGAGCTCTTGCAAGGGAGGCCTGGTGGTGATAGATTCCCTCAGCATTTGTTTTTCTGAAAAGGATCTTATTTCTCTTTTGCTTATGAAGCTCAGTTTGGCCAGATGTTCTGGGTTGGAAACTCTTTTTTTAAGAATGTTGAATACTGGCTCCCAATCTCTTCTGGCTTGTAGGGTTTCTGCTGAGAGGCCTGCTGTTAGTCTGATGAGCTTCCCTTTGTAGGTGACCTGGCCTTTCTCTCTGGCTGTCCTTTACATTTTTTCTCTTATTTCAACCTTGGAGAATCTGACAATTATATGTCTTGGGGTTGATCTTCTCATGGAGCATCTTACCGGGGTTCTCTGGATTTCCTGAATTTGAATGTTGGCCTGTCTTGCTAGGTTGGGGAATTTCTTCTGGATGATATCGTGAAGTATGTTTTCCAACTTGTTTCTGTTCTCCCCATATCTTTCAGGTACCCCAATCAGTCGTAGGTTCGGTCTTTTTACATAATCCCATAGTTCTTGGAGGTTTTGTTTGTTCCCTTTCATTCCTTTTTCTCTTTTCTTGTCCACCTGTCTTGTTTCAGAAAAATAGCCTTCAAGCTCTGAAAGTCTTTCCTTCACTTGGTCTATTCTGCCATTGATACTTGTGATTGTTTTGTGAAGTTCTCCTGTTGTGGTTTTTGGCTCCATTGGGTCATTTATGTTCCTCTCTTAACTGGCTATTCTGGTTATCAGTTCCTGTATCATTTTTTTCATGATTCTTAGCTTTTTTTGCACTGGGTTAAAACACGTTCCTTTAGCTTAGCAAAGTTCATTATTATCAGGGGAACCTGCCCCCAATATTTCAACGTAGGTTCTTTCTATTTTCCATAAGTGTTGGCCAGCTGAGAAATAAAAATAAAGAGTACAAAGAGAAGAATTTTACAGCTGGGCCTCCGGGAGTGACATCACATATTGGTAGGACTGTGATACCCACCTGAGCTGCAAAACCAGCAGATTTTTATTAAGGGTTTCAAAAGGGGAGGGGCTGTGTGAATGGGGAGTAGGTCACAAAGATCATATGATTCAAAGGGCAAAAAAGAGAACAAAGATCACATCCTTCCAAGGAAACAGGACAAAAGGCAAAACAGAACTACTGATAAGGGTCTATGTTCAGCTGTGCATGTATTGTCTTGATAAATATCTTAAACAACAGAAAACAGGGTTCAAGAGGAGAGAACCGGTCTGACCTCAAATTTACCAGGGTGGGGTTTTTCCCCACCCTAGTAAGCCTGAGGGTACTGCAGGAGACCAGGGCGTATTTCAGTCCTTATCTCAACCACAGAAGACAGACACTCCCAGAGTGGCTGTTTATAGACCTCCCCCGCAGGAATGCATTCCTTTCCCAGGGTCTTAATTATTAATATTGCTTGCTAGGAAAAGAATTTAGTGATATCTTCCCTACTTGCACGTCCATTTATAGGCTCTCTGCAAGAAGAAAAATATGGCTCTATTCTGCCCAATCCCGCAGGCAGTCAGACCTTATGGTTGTCTTCCCTTGTTCCCTAAAATCGCTGTTATTCTGTTCTTTTTCAAGGTGCACTGATTTCATATTGTTAAAACACACGTTTTACAATCAATTAATACAGTTAACACAATAGTGGTCCTGAGGTGATGTACATCCTCAGCTTATGAAGATAACAGGATTAAGAGATTAAAGTAAGACAGGTGTAAGAAATTATAAAAGTATTAATTTTGGGAACTGATATATGTCCATATTAAAATGAAATCTTTGTAATTTATGTTCCTCTGCTGTGGCTCCAGCTGGTCCCTCTATTCGGGGTCCCTGACTTCCTGCAACACATTATTATTCACCTTATGAAGCCCACTTCTGTCAATCTAGCCATCTCAGCCTCGGCCCAGTTCTGTGCCCTTGATGGAAAGGTGCTGTGGTCATTTGGAGGAGAAGAGACACTGTGGCATTTTGAGTTTTCAGTGTTTTTGCACTGATTCTTTCTCATCTTTGTGGGTTCATCTTTGATCTTTGAGGTTGCTAACCTTTGAATATGGGTTTTTGTGGGGTCTTTTTTGTTGTTGTTGCTGTTGCTTCCCGTTTGTTTGTTTATCTTTTAACAGTCAGGCCACTCTTCCACAGACTGCTGCAGTTTGCTGGGGGTCCACTCCAGACCCTAGTCACCTTGGTCCCTCCCTCACCTGGATATATCACCAGTGAAGGCTGCAAAACAGAAAAGATGGCAGCTGGCTCCTTCTTCTGAAAGCTCCGTCCCAGTGGTCACCAATCTGATGCTGGTCTGAACACTCCTCTAGGAGGTGTCTGGAGACCCCTGTTGGGAGGTCTCACCCAGTCAGGAGGAATGGGATCAGGGGCCAACTTAAAGAAACAGTCTGGCTGCCCTTTGACTGAGCAAATGTGCTGCACTAGGGGGAACCTCACGACCTTGTCCAAACCACCCAGACTCTCCAGAGCCAGCAGGCTGGAAATGCTGTCAGCTGAACTGCAGAGACAGTGGTTGCCCCTCCCCCTGGGGGCTCCATCTCAGGGAGATCAGAGTTATGTCCATATAACCCTGGCCAGAATTGTTGAAATTCCCACAGGGAGTCCCTCCCCCCACACCTCAGTGAGGAGAGATGGGTTGGGATCCCACTTAAAGAAGCAGTCTGGCCATGATCTGGCACAGCAGCAGCTGTGCTTCCTTGTGGAGAACTCCTGCCGGTCTGGACCACCTGGACTCTCTGGAGCCAGCAGGCTAGAACGGCTGACTTGAACCACAGAGATGGCATCTGCCCCTCCCCCCAGGAACTCAGTCCATCTCAGGCAGTCTCCAGCCTGCTGCCTCTGGCCAGCTGGAATTCTAACCCAGTGGATTGTAACTTGTGAGGTGCCATGGAAGTGGGGCCCATAGAACAATGCCAGTTGGCTCCCTTTATTCAACCCCCTTCCTAGGGAAATGTACAAATGATATCCCACCTCAACTGGAATTTCCAGGGGTGGAGTATGCAAAGCTCCTGTGTCTCCATGTGTGCCTGATCAGCTACTTTGCTGAGACTCTATACAACCCTGTGCTTCAGACCCAAGGCCCTGGTGGTGTGGGTTCACGAGGGGATCTCCTGATCTGCAGGTTGCAAAGATCTGTGGGAAAAGTGTGGTTTCTCAGGAAGGGTTGCACAATCACTCACCACCTCCCTTGGCTGGTGGTGGGGCTATCCTGGCTCTGTACCACTCCCGGGTAGGCCATCGCTCCACCCTGCTTTCCTTGCTGTCCATGGGTCAAGTCATCTGCCTAGTCAGTCCCAGTATGAGAACCTGGATACCTCAGTTGAAGGTGCAGAATTCAC